CCGCCCCTCACCCCCCCTCATTGCCCCATGGTTAGAACAAACGTAGCTTACCTACTAGCGTTCAGCGTGGGATACTATCTGTACAGCCCGTACGATGAGATCGCACCCGCGTACAGATTTCGTCGCGGCGAGGGCTGCGTGTCGTGGTTCGTCAACGAGCTTAACGTTATCGCGCATCGCGCAAAAGAGATACTCATGACGAACGTGACCATGGCGGAGCCATCCAGCTCACGCTGGACGAGACTCGAAATTTTTTGAGCGCGACGAGATGTCACATATGCGAGAGGCCATTCGCAGGATCAACGCGTGCGCGATCACTGTCACTTGACCGGACGTTACTGAGGTCCCGCGCATCCGCGCTGCAATCTATTTTATATAAGAGACTCATACGTTATTCCTGTGTTCTTTCACAATTTGTCCGGTTACGATGCCCACTTTATTATCAAGGATATAGCTAATAGCTTCGAGGGGGTAGCATTGATTTATTACCACCCACCAAAGTGACGTACCTATCGTTCACGAAGAATATAAGGGAAGGCGTTAGCAGGGGAAACTCCGTGAAGTTGCGATTCGTGGATTTGTTTAAATTTCTCAGCACCAGTCTCGAGAAATTGGCGTCGTATCTCGATAAGAACAAGCTGAAAATTACGCGTTCGAAATTTTCGGAACTGAGCAAAAGCGATTTCAACCTGCTCACGCGTAAAGGCGTATTTCCGTACGAGTACGTCGACGGCTTCGATAAGCTGCTGGTGACGGAATTACCACCGCGCGAGGCTTTTTACAGTTCGTTGATCGGCGAGATCGCGACTGATAGCGATTACGAGCACGCGCGGAATGTCTGGCGTTGTTTTCGCGTGGAAAATCTTGGCGAGTACAGCGATTTGTATCTTAAAACGGATGTGCTTCTTCTGGCGGATATCTTCAAAAATTTTCGCGACGCCTGTATCGACGCTTATGGACTGGATCCCGCGCATTACTACACTCTACCGGGATATACGTGGGACGCGATGCTCAAGCACACGGGGGTGCGATTCGAATTGCTCACCGATATCGATGGTAATGTTCGTGGAACGCGGTATACGAAGTGATTTGAGTCAATGTCCAATAGGTACGCGCGAGCTAACAACAAATACATGCGATCGCACGACTCTTCACAACCGTCGACGTATCTCATGTACCTCGACGTGCAATCTGTACGGCTCGGCGATGTGCAAACCGTTGCCGTACGCGGAGTTTCAATGGGTCAACAATGCTGAGAGTCTCGACATAATGTCCGTGACATTGGACTCCGCTATCGGTTACATCTTGGAGATCGACCTTGCGTATTTGCATGAACTTCATGACGCTCACGCTGATCTTCCGTTCTGCCCGACGCGCGATAAGCTTCCCGGAAAACGGTGCGATAAACTCCTCGCTACTCTGTGCGATAAGTCGCGCTACGTGCTGCACTACCGTAATCTACAGCAATGCTTTGATTTAGATTGCGCGTCACGAAGATTCATTACGCGCTTCGATTCGCACAATCTCCGTGGCTTTGCGGATACATAGAGCTCAATACGGGATTCAGAATTCGCGCTAGCAACAATTTCGAGAAAGAAATGTACAAACTAATGAACAATGCGGTATTCGGCAAGACCATGGAAAACGTACGAGATCACGTTGACGTGCGTCTCGTGACGCGTTGGGACGGGAGATACGGCGCGGAGGCGATAATCGCGAAACCGAATTTTCACAGTCAAAGGTTATTCGCGGAGGATCTGATCGCCGTTGAGTTGCGCAAGCTCGAGGTGAGGTTGAACAAACCCATTTACGTTGGTATGTGCATTCTCGAGATATCCAAGACGTGCGTCTACGATTTTCATTACAATTACATGGTGCCGCTGCATCGCGAAAGGTGTAAAATAATATACACGGACACCGACAATCTCATATATTTTCTCGAGTGCGACGACGCGTACGAGGATATGAAACGTGACATCGCGAGATTCGACACAAGCGGCTACCCCGAGAACAACGCGTACCGCATGCCGCGCGTTAATAGCAAGATACCCGGATTGATGAAGGATGAGAATGACGGCGCGGTCATGACAGAATTCGTTGGACTGAGGGCGAAGATGTACGTCTGGAGGGTCGAGGGAAAGAGCGACACAAAGAAAATAAAGGGCGTCAAGAGAAACGTGGTTGCGAGAACGATAACGTTCGACGATTACATGCGTTGCTTGAGAGACGCGATAGAGCTGTCTAGGCGACAGTCGTGTATTCGTTCGACGTTACACGAAGTACACACCGTGTCCGAGTCGAAGCTCGCTCTCAGCCCGTACGACGACAAGCGATACGTCATTTCTGGCTCGTACGACTTTCTACCGTGGGGGCATTACAAGATACCGCCATGAAGAGGAACTTTTTTTTCTTATCAACGTTATTTTTTAGCAATAAAGTTTACAATGCGTTTTATGGGCTATTATCAAGAAATACATATATATATATATTTTAAACTTACATTAAAGCAAACAAAAAATACATTAATTTTTTTGTTAACTACAACACAGCTGTTTTATTTATCCACGAGTTATGCGAACTGTTCATTCCTAGCTACTTCACGTATACGTCGTCGCCTCGCCTGCGCAACACTTTCTCCACGAGATAAACATCGGGGTTGAAAACTCGCAGTAACTCGTGTTCGTAAAATCCTCCGGCTATCGGTTCCCCGCGGTAGTCTTTCAACAGATACGTCACAGGATTGGTTCGTTGTATCTTAGCGACACAGAAGATCTCGGTAGTCCAGTTGGGAGTATAGCCCTTTTCGAACAGCGACTTGAATTTACTCACGCGCACCGGATCGTTCATCTGAAATCTACCCGGAGCGGCTATCTTCGCGCGACTGTACACCGTGGACAGGAGTTTCTTGGCGACAGCGGGCGTCACCCTCGTCGGCTGCATTCCGATAGTTCTATGCTTGCGGTGGTTGTAATTCGACAGCAAACGCGGCAACGCGTCGACCCACGCGTACGATCCGTTGAGCGTGAAGAGTTTCCATATGTCGTTCTTCAGCGTGCGATTGAATCTTTCCACCACCAACGCCTTCATCACCGAGTACGTCGAGTAGTGATTTATGTCGTGTTTTTTTATAATTCCTTGCACATTAGCGTTGTAGAACTCCTTTCTCTTGTCCGTTTGCAGATTCCTCGGATATCGCGCGTCCTCGCGAAATATCCTTGACAGGGCCGCGGCTACCTCGCTTCCGCTTTTGCTCTTGAGCGGTAACGCCCACGCGTACTTGCTCAACACATCGATAACCGTTAGTATGTAGTAGTAACCCTTGTTGTGTCGCGCGTAGGGACGCATCTCGACCACGTCGGCCTGCCACAGATCGTCGTAACCGCGCACCACGACGCGACGTCGTGGGAAGTTTCTCCGCGCCGATGCGTGCAGCTCCTCCACGAGTCTCCGCTTCTCGGCACTCATCGTTGCGCGCGTGTATTCTTCTCTCAACTGCGCGAAAAAAGAGACGGCTCATCTACCTCCTTATTGACCTTTCCCCCTGTTACCGCGAATGTTCGTTTTCATTGTCGCTATCTCTCTCTCGAACGATTCCTTCGTCACCATCGTTGTTTCAATCTCGTGGAATTTGGCTAGAAAATCGTTCATCGCGAATCTCAGTCCGTTCATAATGCTGTTTATCTGATTTACGTCGTTTCTCAAAGAATTCGTCTCGCCCGTCGTTTCTTCGATGGCCTTCTGCGCGCCGAGTATCTACTTCGTCTGCGTGGATTTAGAGTTTTCCAAGTTCTGTATCTGGTTTTCAATCTCCTCGAACTTGGCCAGCAACTCGTTCATCGTGATTCTGAGTCCGCTCATGACGTTGTTTTCAGTCTCCTTGAATTCGCTCAACGTGGTTCTGAGTCCGTTCACGTCGCCGTTTATCCTATCTACCTCGCTTTTCACCGTCGACAACGATTTATCGATCTCCTTTCCCGATTCTTGAAGCGCGCGTTCGACATAACTTTTGTTCGTTGCGTCGCTGTCGATCTCCGGCGCGGCTAGACGTCGTAGCTTGCGCTCCCTCGCGTCGTAGAAGTCCTCGTTCAAGCAGAGCGCGCTGTCTCGCACGTAGTTCCGCAGGAAATCAATCGAGAATCGCAATCTTTCCGTCGCGAATCCACCGCCGTCGCCGTGTTTCCTCAGAGACATTCCAAATTTGTTCACCGACATTGCGCCGATCTCTCGTCGAGAAACGCACTGCCGTCGCGGTCGACGCGACAGTTCAATTTATAATCAATTCGATCTCGCGAAGCTCCTCGATTATCGACTGAATTTCGTTACCGTGCGCGTCGTTGCCCGCTCGACGAGAGGCCTCGAGTAATCGCAGACGATCCACCAATTCTTTAGGGTCGTCCCAATAAACGTAATCCATTGTATTGTCGTTCAATTTCATAATCGATGGTAATCTGGTCACGCCAGCGCCCTTTCTATTACTGCCGATTCTATCGCGCGATACCAACGGAGCGATGATGTTCTTGTATTTTGGTCCCTTGTTGCCCATGATGGGGTTAAGAGCACTATAACCGCGTCTGTAAGCATTTGTCGCTAACAGTATATTTCTGTACTTTTGCATGTCGTCCTCGGTGTAAATTGTACCATCGGGATGTCTCTTGAAGATTAATTCGTACAAGCCGGGCGTGCCCGTGTATCTCACTCCGTCCACGATCACGGAATCGTCCGTGTCCACCTCGAACCGTTTGTCACTGAGTATCGTGCCGTCATTCCCGACGTACACACCGTAAACAATATCAATTTCATTTTGTGGGTCCCCGTTTAGAAGAGCGCCTACGTATCATTGTCCCAACGGACCCAATTGACTGTGCATTTTCTCGTGACCCTGCGGCGTTTGTAGAACGTCCCTTACGGGTGTTTCGGAGGAAAGCAACGACGACGCGAAAACCTCCACCTCCTCCCCCATCCGCTCGTGCAGCGATAATTTTCGCGGTTTCAGAGGCGTGGAGTGGATCGGGAGCATCTCTGACTCGGCGCTTGTTTGTTTTTTCCTTTTCTTAGGTCTCGATATTATTTTTCGCGTGACTTTTCCTTTGTCGTCGTCGTCGTCGTCGTCTTTGCTATGCTCGCGTTTCTTTTTAATAACGAAACCTTTCGTCGTCGCCGCCGCCGCATTGTCGTTCTTGGATTCGCCTCTTTCGACGTGTTCGACGATTTGTTTCAACGGGTCAACGATCGGTTTGAATTGTCTCTCGAGAGCCATCTCGTTTTTCATACTGCCGGTTTTCAACGCTTTGTATTTTCTGCGTATCGACGCGCGCGTTTTAGCGATCTGCCGCGCGGTCTTCTCTCGTTCAACGGTGTCTTTCGCGTCGCTCATCGCTCTCGGAACGTTCGACAGCTACTGATCGCTCTACAGTACAAAGTCGTTGAATCCTCGTCTGTATCAGCCGTTTTGTAGCGCGCTGTCCTTGTCTATCACCACGAACCCGTACCTGCGTCGCCACCACTCGCGACACAACGCGTAAAAATCTTCATACGACATATCGGGGTTCACGTGATCGTCGTACACCTGTTTCAGATTAGTTCCATCTTGTCTAAACAGGATCAACAGATTCGCGTTGTCGCGTATTAAATGCTTCGGTATCTTAGCGTACGTTTGACAGAGATAGAAACAATCGATATTCGAATGTCGACCCATGGCGAAGTACTCCTTGATTGCGTCCTGTTTGTCACAGGCCACGTCGTCGAACACGAATATCGAACCGGGGAGCGCCTCGCTCGGCGGCACGACGTCGCGATTATTGGAGAACGCGCGATAACCGATCTCGTCCATCGATTCGAGCAGACTCTCGAGGTAGCGATACTTCGGCTGATGCAGGGATTTCGAGTACACGTATACGTTCTCGAAACGCAGACCGTGCGGACTTTCTAGTAGACTTATCAACGCGTTCGTTTTACCGCAGTTGGAAGGGCCGCAGATGACGCAACGTATCACGATCGGTAAAAGAGGGCCGTGTCGACGCATTTCTCTCGACGTTAAACCCGACGTGAGTCGCGTCTTGCAATCGAGATTCGACACTCCTATCGCCGACGGTTGTCTCACGAATCGCATTGTTACGCGCGTGCGCGCACACTTGCCCTATTTATACGTACGTTCGATCGATATACGCCCTCAGTTACCGCGATGTTTCTCGTCCTGGCGGATAAACGCGATATTCTTGGTCTGTCCGCCGAGCAACTGAAATTCGTGCCGAAGATTTTTCTGCTGCGCAACTTTTCTGAGTACGTCGATCGACTGTGGAACAAATTTCCCGTTCATCTGAGGACGGATTCTGACGTACGGGACTGTCGTCCGTTAAGAACATTACAATCGTCCGTGGCAGAGAACGCACATAAACGGTCCATCATCGCTCATAAGGGATTGCGGTGCATGTCGCGCGCAGCGGCGCGAAGCACTGGCAGCGGCCTCCTTAACAGAGCGATAAACGCGCTACCCGTTGAATTACACATACCCGGCTATCAATTCTGCGGGCCGGGTACTCGTCTCGCCAAGGAACTAGCGCGCGGTGATCGAGGTATCAATCCGTTGGACGAGGCGTGTCGCAAGCACGATATTGCTTACTCTCGAAGCGACGATCTCGCCGATCGAGCGCTAGCCAAAAAGGCGCGCGAGCGAATCACAGCGAGCGGCACAACTCTTGGCGAGAGAGCTGCCGCAACCGCCGTATGGGCTGCTATGAAAACAAAAACGAAATGGGGCATGGGCATGAGAAACAGGAAGAGGGGAGCGGTAACGAGGAAGAAAATTCTCCCGTTGGCAAAACGCGGTGGTCTCCTACCCTTTCTACCAATATTGGGAGCGCTTGGATCCTTGATCGGTGGAGCGGCTGGCGTGGCCAAGGTGGTGAACGACAACAAGGCCGTCAGCTCGAGGAACTGCAACGTCACAATCGCGCGTTGGAGGGTCGCGGACTGTATCTCGCGCTGTACAAACGCGGTAGTGGCGTGACGAGCAGAAGACGAACGAGAACGGTTAAAAAAAAATCGCCGAAAAAGACACTGACGACGCTCGATTTGCCGACGTTCGGCCTCACGACAAACGAGCAATTGAATCGGTCCGCGCGCCTTTCGCGCATACTTTTCTTTAGGGGCGTGTTTATGCGCGACGCGTTGCCGACGAAAGTGCGTCGCGACGAGAGCGGAATCGTGAATCTCGACGACGCGGAGGGCCCAGGTACGCACTGGGTCGCCTATGCGAAGAGGGGCGACAACGCGATCTACTTTGACAGTTTTGGAAATCTTCGTCCCCCGAGGGAACTCGAACGATATCTCGGGAGTGACGTAAATATTGTGTGCAACCGTCGTTCGTATCAGACGTTCGATCAGAGCATCTGCGGTCAATTGTGTCTGTGGTTCCTCCGAAACGTCGACTGGAAACGTCTCTGACGATGAGAGAGGGAGAAACAATCTCACTATGTCGTTGACTCTCGCTATCCGGAAGAAGCAGCGTCCTTTCAGCCAGCTACTTTCCCGCTCTGGATCTGAGCGGCGGCGAATACGAGATAGGCCTCGCGAATTTCGAGACGTACAACATGATACTGAACATTGATTCCACGAACAATAGATTTTACTTTGACATCAACGACGTGATCGCTATTCCCGAAGGATCGTACAAACTGGACGCTATAGATAGATACCTGAGAACAGCTATCCTCCGCAAGAAAAGTACGAAGAAGAAAGACGATTACATATACGTGGACGATAACGATGACGACTGCGAAAAAAGCGAACGCTCGATTATTTTGCGCGCTAACGAGAACACCATGAGAAGCGAGATCAAGTGTGCTTATAGAGTTAACTTCACCAAATCGAACAACGTTGGCTCTTTGTTAGGTTTCTCGACACGTCGCGTACTCGAGCCGAATAAGTGGCACGCGTCCGACGAACCGGTAAATATTATGCGCGTGAATATCATTCGCGTGGAATGCAACGTCACCGCGGGAGCCGCAACAACTATAGCAACAACAAGCCGGCACACACGATACACAAATTTGCGCCAAACGTTCCACCGGGATATAAGCTGTCGGAGACTTCGACGCAGATCATTTACCTTCCGGTCATCGCGCGGAGTGTCACCGATATAACGTTACGCGTCGTGGATCAGATCGGACAATTGATCGACTTCCGCGGGGAGGAGATAACGGTTCGACTACACGTGCGTCGCAGAAAATAAAATACAAAATCGGGGGCGAATATGTGCGTGCGCGAAAGATGCTCGTTTTGAACGAGTCGTTCGCAAGAGCCACATCCGTCATTGCACCGCGAACGTTATCGTTCGGCGCTCCGACAAAAGGAACGCGCAGACCGATTGTGAGAGAGAAAAAGAAGAAGAAGAAAAACGGACTAAGCGCTGCGAACGTCGCTTTTCTACGATCTCTGGGATTCGTCGTGAGGAACGATCATGACTGACATTTTAAGTATCGGAGGTGAGCCGATCTTCGACGATCGCATCGTCAAGATCGAGACTCACACTTATAATCCATATGCCAATACCACGTTCGGGCACAGCAATGAAATACGAATTCCGATACAACAGCAGGATCTGTACACTCTACCCTGCGAAAGTTTTCTGTACATCGAGGGGGTACTCTCCGACGACGTTCCGGAAAAGGATTCGGATACGACGATGGACAACAATTGCGTGGCGTTCATGTTCGATGAGATTCGATACGAACTCAACGGCGTGGAGATCGATAGGAACAGAAACGTTGGAATAACCAGTTCGATCAAGAATTTCGTGTCGCTGACCACCGAGAGAAACAGGAAGCTGCAAAACGCTGGATGGATTGTGATCAATGAAAACGTGGGACCTCGTTCGAGAACTAAAATCGGCGATTTCAATTTCTGCGTACTCCTTAACGTTCTGCTAGGTTTTTGCGAGGATTACAAACACGTGATAAACGCGCGACACGAACTCATTCTGATACGTTCCCGAACCGACGCTAATTGCATCGTCACGAAACCGGAACGTCAAAAGAATCCTACAATTACTCTGTTGAAAGTGCAATGGCGAATGCCGCACGTGGTGCTGAACGACGATAAATTGTCACTTTTACGAACGTTGGAGAGCGGACGATACTTGAGTATGGGCTTCCGCTCGTGGGGTCTGTACGAGTACCCTTTGCTGCAAACCACGAACAGGCATTCGTGGGCCGTGAAAGCAGCGACGCAGCTTGAGAAACCGCGATACGTCATTTTCGCGCTACAAACCGGGAGGTCCAACAACTTATTGAAACACGCCTCCGAGTTCAATGACGGTAATCTCACCAATGTGAAACTGTACCTTAATTCAGATTTTTATCCCTACGACGATATGAACTTAGATTTTGAGAAGCGTAGAACGGCCATACTGTACGAGATGTACGCAAAATTTCGAAAGTCGTATTACGGATGCGAGCGAGAGAACGCGCTCCTAACGATGGAAGAATTTGACAAATGGGGCCCGTTCGTGGTCATCGACTGTTCTCGTCAGAACAAATCCGTCAAAAGCGCCACCGTAGACGTTCGATTGCAAACGTAATATAGATTCCAATACGACGGCCTGCTGTCTCATCATCCACGATCGCGTGATCAAGTACAATCCGCTGACTAACATAGTCCGTAAAATCGTGTAAAAGAGGGAGAACAACTGTTAAGTTTCTATAAATTTTAGTTTTCGTGTTTAAATAAGCGCGCATTTCTAGTGATTATATCCAATAAGATTTGTTTGGGCGCAGTGGCGCTCACAACCACACACGCACGTCTCGTAGTAGTATTTTTCGGTTGGTATTCTTTTTAGCGCGCGCCAAAAACTCCCGCCTATTACACTCGTCTTTTGGTAGCGTTCGTGAGAAAACATGCGAGCGTGACATTGTAATACTAATTCCAATTATATTAGATTAAAGTTGTGTTCTTTATCATTCGGCTAATTCCAATTTCTCGACACCTGCGCACATTCAAGATAATATCCAACAACAACGTCTGACGAAATCCCGATAAGCGACAGATTCAAACAGAGTGCGGGAAGCGACTGACTGTACAGAGAAACGATGTCCATCGACCGCAACGTACCGATATTCGTGGATCTGCAGGGATTCGTTATCCGCGAAAAGTTCACAGTTAAAGAAGTGGCCGTGCTCAGAAACGGAAAGGAACGGATTCACCACGTGTTTCGCGCGCCATTGGCGAGGGATCTTCTAACAAGAGCGGAAAAATCGCAGGCGTGCTGGTTGACGGCGAACCATCATGATTTTAAATGAAACAATGGAGAGGTGAATTACGTTCGGACGAGAACGATCATCCGACGCGCCGTGTGCGACGGGTTGAACTGCGAGACGCTCAATCTCGTTTATGTGAAAGGCGCTGAAAAGAAAAGATGGCTGGAGGAGATTCTCGGCGACGCCGTCGATGAATTCAACGTTAAGATCGAGCCGATGGACGTCGAATACGAGGACATCGGTCGACTGGAGACCCTCGGCGCGATCCGATCTTTCCTCTGCGGGCGCCACGCGAAGAACTGCGCCATGGAGAACGTGTGCAAGTTGCACGATTGGTAGACGGAACGGCGCGCGCATCTCGTCACTCTGTAACGCTGTGTGTGTGTTTCTCGAGAAATTTTATTGTATTATAGAAATGATGTTTTTTTATTTACCACAGTTCGATATTTTTTAAATGTACTTTAACTTAAATATGTGAAGTGGTTGAGAATGACTCATGAATAAATAAGACAGCCGTGTTGTAGTTAACAAAAAAAATTAATGTATTTTTTTCTACATATTACATTTTTTTATTCATCTTAATATAAGCTTAAAATATATGTATTTCTTAATAGTGAATACCTATGAATTTTAATATTACAGTTACTGTATACATATAATTTTCACTCTACATATAGCGGTAATTCATAATTTTGATCGATATTGTTGAATCTTTGCAATACTACCTCGGCATCCAACCACTAGCCGATACACGCTCGACACTGGTTGGCTGGTTTGATCACGCATAACACACGTTTACACTCGCTGCATTCAATTTTTACTCTCATGTTCAATCCATACAATTCATTCATAATCGCGTGCCAGGATTGATAGAATACGTAGTTTGGCCTAAGATTACGACGAAGGCTATGATGATAACACGATTCGCACACTCGCTGCCGCGGTGTACTATCCATATGTAAAACGGTAGTATTCCAGTGACACAGTAATACCTATTTAATGTTTCATACGGGCTGTAATCTTCATTATATTGTTCGGGGAGGACCCCGTCGACTTCTAGCGGTTCTACCGGTGGTCTCATATTTTTCTCTAAAAGTATATATATACATATATATTTTTTAAAAATGTGTAAACATAAAATAAAATAAATTATTATATTTCTCTCTTACTTTTGTTAAAAGTTTTCGCTGGTGCAAATTCTGCTTCGTTAAGGGGAGATATACATCTAGCATGGTCGAAAAAATCAATTTTTTTTTTGCATTTTCTTGAAGCTTGAGGTCTCAAGAATATCTGGTTAAAATTGCAAGTCAATATCTCGATAAATAACGAAGTTACAGCCGAGAGAGTGAACCGTCCCCGAGAGCGCGCCGTGCCGCCTGTTTTGTGGCCGAGCCGAGAGGCAAGCGACCCTTCGAAGAGAGCGTGTCTACCAATTACCAATTTACGAAAACCTCAGCAATGACAAATTGTTGGAACGCTGTGTTGGTGGATACACACAAAACAGCAATGAGAGTTTCAACCAACTTATTTGGAAGATAGCTCCAAAAACGATGCACAGCGGGGCCAAAATCGTTAACATTGCTGCATTTCTTGCAACATGCACGTTCAACAATGGTGTCACGTCATTGTTAGAAATCATGAACGTGTTAGGAATGTCGGTCGGATCGGGCGCGCACTTGTACGCTGCGCAAGAAGACGAAACTCGCATAGCAAAAGCCGAGCTGCAAGCGCAAGAACAGACTAAAGAAGGTCGAATACGGCGCCGACAACAAAATTTAGAAAATATGAACATTCCGTTGACCGCAGAAGACTTACACTATGGAGCTGGTATCGATGATTCCATGTAAGTTGACAAATTTCATGATTTATTCATTCCCAAATTTTCAAAACCACGTTTTTCTCAAAACCACGTTTTTCAAATCGGTACCCAAAATTTCTTGAAAACCAATGAACCGATTGCCTTGAATTTTTTGTGGTTATTCTATACATCATTATCTAGTACTTGTCATAGGATTTTTTTTTCGTTGCTTAGTTTTTGTTTTATAGGCAAAATAATAACTAATTTTTGGTCGAAAAATCGCTATGTTATGTTCAAACGTCCGCCATTTTGTCATAAATCGATATTTTCAAAATCGGCTATGACAAGTACTAGATTATAGTATCTAATTTAATAATCTTTTTGGTTTTTTTGTTTCAGATGATTTTTGAAGAAACGCCTGTGGGTACCGTTTACCCGGATTTTTTTACGGCGCTCCAAAGATTATACCACAACCTCGTCAATTTTTGATTTTTTAAATAAAAAAAATTGGACATATTCTTGAATGTGTATACTTTTAGATAGAAAAACTCCCAATCCGAAATTTCAAATAGTTTTCCTTAAAAAAATTCACAAAAATGACCCTTTTTCCGGCCTCCTAGGTGTATATCTCCCCTTAACTTTCGATGCTAGATGTGTCAAATTCTTTCGGAATATATACCCGATGAGAGAAATCATTTTTACGATAAAAGGTGTGAAATGGATCGATATTTGAACTTGCTTCCTGTTTTTCCTAGATTACCGTATTAATTAAGAGGTTTAAACTAGACGGAAATGGATTCATCTTTGAATTTAGTTCCTGTTTTTCCTAGATCACCACACTATTAATTAAATGTGAGGTTTAAACTAGACGTTTGTCTATTCCCGTTTATATTTTTATAGACTTACTGGTATATGTATTTTTTTATGGGCAGAAATCACAATTTGGAATAAAATTTTGTAAATTATAAAGTAACTTGGATGTATAATAAAAACTTTTTTACTTACTTAAATTGCTTCATATTTATTTTATGATGATTATATTAAAAAATTAATAAGAATAATGTTAAATAATAAACAAGACAAGAGCGAACCGCCGCCCGCCGTACCGATCGCGCGCGCACAATGTTTACACTTTTTTACGCTGACTGACGGGCGTTGTCTTATTGAATGGTTGACTGACTACTTTTTTTATGTTTGATATCGTATAAAGTACCTATAAAAATTTTTTTAGACTTTGTAAATGAGTTTCACATTATTATTTTTTCATATATGCTTCGGGCCTGACTGACCACCCCCGTCCTAACACACAGCTGACTGACTAAGATAATTCTTCTTTATATGCAATGTGTAACCTGCAGAAAAACTTTCAGTCTTTGTCAATTCATTTTATGCACTCGTTAATCGCGACATGTTTGACAGCTCACCTGTGACACCTGTCCCAATGATTGCTTGACTAACCAGAGCATATTCACGTACACTAGTGCTGTAATCGACTATCAAAAAACTAGCTTTTATCATTTCAGAGACTTTTTTGACTCCGAGCTCTTGTACTAACATCGCTCGTCGCTATCGCGGCCGGCGTGACCCGTGACCCGCGGCGATAGCGATACGCGAGAGCGGCGAATTTTCGCAGTCCGCGGGAAAACATCGTCGCCGTCGAGTGTCATCGCGATGTCGGCGCGAAGTGAAATCTTTTTTTTCGTTAGTGGTCCGCGCGAATATCGACGCGTCGCGGCGCGCGGACATCGTTCGCGAAAATGTGCCACCGCGAGTGTCGGCGACGACGACGACGACGACGAGTGACACGGGTATGTGATAAAAAATATTTTTGGGTGTTTTTGGTTTTTCGCGAAGTTCAGAAGACCCGATTGATTCCATACCTCATGGGAGTGCTCGTCGGGGGGCGGGGTGAGGAAGCAGAACGCGCGGGAAGAGCGGTTAGTGAGGTTAGGATAGCGTTGGCAGCGAACACGTGATCGCTTCTACTTTCCTCCCTAGGGCGGAAAGTGAAGCGGTGCGGTGCCCCTCTGCCGACGCCATCCCCTCTCCCACCGCTTACGGCATTCCCCGCGCGTTCCGTTCCTTCACCCCGCCCCCCGACGGGCACTCCCATGAGGTAGGAATAACATTGTTCATCTACTCGTCTCGAAACGTCCCTTACGTCGAGGCTGCTCGCTCCAGCTCATATTTCACTTGTATCGCTTGTACATATACGTACAGGCTATGTAGATCGCGACGACGAAGACTGCAACGTTGCCGCGCTGCTGTTGTACATACCCAGATAACCAAGCGTGATAGAGCATATTGAGCAAACTAATGCATTGCATGTGTTTTCATATATTTGCTGTAAATTTGATGACATCAAAATAGAACACATTACAAATACAGCTACATGACTGCTTATATATGCAATCAGTTGACGCAATTTCAAGAGCAAACGGTCCGCAATATTGGTACATATTTTATCTGCTAACATTTTGTAGTACTGTACATGCCAAATCCTGTATCAAATCTGTAGTTTATAGC